TAAATTAAAATTACTCAAGGTCTTCGCAGAGAAGTATAGCTGACGACACTGATGTGACTAGGTGTTAATCCTCGATTTTGCTCTTCTCCACGGATTGTTCTTGGGTCCACGCCTGACCTGACCTGACCAAGTTGATCCACCCCCCCCGATATGGGTTAGAAGTCTGCCAAGTTCTGTAGGCCTACTTCCTTTCAAAGAGAGCGTCAACATGTTTTCAAGGAAAGGTCAGTTACTTTGCTTTTCACATCTTTTAGTTAAGAAAACAAGCGCAGTTTCTGGTGCAGTGTGTACTAGTGGATTCTTTACATGTCATGCTCAAAAGTGCATCTGTGTGCCCAACTTCTGAAAAAAAAAATGCTTGCAATATCATGTTTATCCACACCCTGTAGCCTTCAAAAACTGGAAAATCTATCTGGAGGTTTTGGAATTTCTGTGGCATTGAGGAGAGGAGCAGCCCAGTATCTGTTTTTACTTTACATGGACTTTGGTGCCTGCAGCAAAAGTGATTTGAAGAATGTGTCGTTTGTTTCCTGCTGAGTGGAGGACTGTGACAGGTTCAAGAAGGCACCTAGCCGAAATAAACTGGGTCGGCCAAGACAGTGCATGTATTCGATAAACCTAATTTACAGTTGAACCTCGTTAATAAGTCCTGTGGACTCGGCAAATTACCTTGTCATAACAGGAGCCTTGCGATATCAAGAATGAAAACAATGAAGAGCAAAGAATTGAGACCTAAAAATTTCCCTGTTACGAGCAGAATGTTGTCTTAACTGTGCTTTTATAAACAAGGTTTGACTGTAATTGTGCAGATTTCCCTAAGGACAGTAAACATAGTAACATGCCATACTTGGAAGATGTCATAAAAAAGTTTGTGGTCCTCAAAATGATCTTTCGTCCCCTTGTTAGGATCCATGGATGAGATGGAGGCAGCGAAGCTGGCCTCCCTCAAACACTATCTCAGCCGGGAGCTGTCCTCTTCCATCAAGAAGGTAGCTTGGTTGTCACGGTCACTGAATTGCCTGGGTCATATGCAGGGGTTGGGGGGGCTCTTCCCCAACCCCCTAACCTCCTGCCACCCTCACACACCCTTCACAAATGACCATCCTGTCAAGTTATTCTCCTAGAACTTATGAAAACATTTGAACTCACCTTCAACAAAATCAACATTTCCCTTATTTTCTAATCCAAATCTACACCTGATATGGAACTAAACCTAATAGCACTGTCTGCTTCTAATTGCAGACTGTATTTTTGAGAACAAAAAAAAGAAGCCACAGACTTTCGTTGTGCAGTGTTTGTCTTTACCGACGTCAGAAGTTTTCCGACCAAAACAAATGTCCTGTTAGGTTGAGGGGAGGGGGGGTCAAAATCACAAATCACAAAGCCAGCATTTTAATCCTCGGTGTTTCTTACCAAAAGCGTCTTTTGGTTTCAGCTTCAAAAGGATCACATCTCATCGGACTCAGCGATACGAAGGTAAAGAGATTAATTAATTAATTAACAGCCAATTTTGAGCATTGATATGTCATGACCATAACGAGCCCTGCCGAAAGGTTGAGCAACCCTGTCACCACTAAATCCGAGATTGTCCTATGTTTTCCTTACCGCCGTAGTGCCACTTTTTGGTGTTGTCCATCTTGGTCTTAGTCCACCATACTATTCAGAGTTCACGAGCAAAATTATGCAATTCTGTTGTGTTTCAGTGGAGAAATAGCCAACAGGATCTGCAATCTGATTGAAGCAGTGCTTCTCCACCATCTGAAGGAGTCATACAGCAGTAAAGTATGTGAGCATACATGTGCGGTGCCTACTGAGTGAACAATTCAACCAAGTTAACGATAATCTTCAAAAGTACTGTTTTGTGGAGTTATTGGAATGGTGGAAATCATGGAAATTTAAGACTCTGCTGAATGTTAGAGTTAGGTAATCTGGTGGGATCCATGCACTTTGTAGTCCTCTGTTGATAAATGCAAAAATCATTGTCAGAGGGAGACGCCCTCTGGTGTGCTTAACCCTAACCCTCCTCAATCCTTCACCTGTTGGAGGACTGAGGAGTGTTAGGGTTAATGTTTTTGCTGTACGCTTGACAGCGGTGTGTTTTCTTCCCACACAATTCTTGGCAAAGAAATGACCACTTACAGTGAGCCTGACAGCCACCAGGAAACTCTGTGATCACATAAAATGCTTGACATGAATGAAAGGTTCGGTGTCTTGAAAAGCCCTCGCCCACAAAAACTCACTGTGAGGAATGGGAGAATTGACGCTTTCTGAAAGTAGGGATGTTCTAGAGCAGGTTATTGGGTTTTTTTTGTCAGCCACCAGTGCATTTCTCTGAGAATGTATGTGTAAGATGTAAAATTTGTTGCATTGCATCTTATAGACTCCGTGGCCATTTCTGATGAAGTTCACCCACAAGGATGTCATTTCCCAACTTAAGGGGTTAACCCAGGTCAACACAGAGATTGGCTACTGCAGGGTAAGATGATTTAAACCTCTCCCCCGCCCAAAAAAACAAGACCCCATTTTGCAGAAAAGCTAAAAAAAACAACCAGATGTGGACCAGTTTCACAAAGTTACATGACAGTTCTTATGTATCTTCTTGGAGTCGCCAAAGTATTGCCGATTGGTGGTTGATGATGCAAGAGTACCATTCAGGGTTCGCACACCTCCTGGAAAACCTGGAAAATCCTGGAATTTTATACCCATCCTGGAAAGTCCTGGAAAATGCTTAATTTTTAAAAGAAGTCCTGGAAATTTCTGGAAATTGCAGTAAAATCAATGTCACTTTAAAAATGAGACAAAAATGATCTAATAAACTGTGACCAAAAATTTACCGCAATCAATCCGTCCCTGCGTACATTGTTGCTGTTGCGCGGTGCAATACACTTTATTCACCATGCATGGTCTCCACACTCGAAAACACACGCGCGCTGCACGCAGCACTGTGAGCGAATTCAATTTTAGATGGTGCCCACAATGTGGTTCTCTCTATTTTGCATGCACGTGGCACCAAGGATGTCATTACTAAACTTTCTTGTAGTCAACTTTTACCTTCGGTTTTTTTGTAGCTCCATTGTGAACTGTCTGTTGTGGCTATAATCATGAAATCATTCTCTGTTAAACTTACGTACTTTATTTAATACACAATTAAATATTTCCAGTCATTATAAACCAATAAAACTCATTGTAAAAGTAAAACTGTGACTGTGTCGATCCTTTTTCCTTAATGTTGAATGGACTAGGGGAAGTTTATTTTTTTATGATCGCCAGCTTTCTGTACACTATAGGCCTACCTCGTGGTGCGATTATCACTGTCAGAACCCGAATTAAGTCCTGGAAAAATCAAACTTTGGACCTGGAATAGTCCTCAAATTTTTTTTCATAAGGGTGTATGAACCCTGACCAGTATTTTGTTTCTGCCTGGCCAACAGGCATGGGTTAGACTAGCTCTTAACGACGGCCTCATGGATAGTTACATGGACGCCATGCTGTCCGACGTGAAGGTGATTCAGAGCCACTACAAGAGAACGTCCTTCTTGCGCGACCCGGAAGAGCCGCACATCATGAAAAACTATCTGCAAGGTGCGTCACAGTTTATTATGGAGAGTCTTGTCTCAGGACAAGACACTGTATTGCTCATTGTCTAGCATTAGAGCATCATTCCATCCTGTAACCTGTACTCAGGCTTTTACCAGACAGATTTGAACACAGGACTAACCAATCTAGGGCAGGGAGAAAAATGTTATGGCACTTTTATTTGACCATTCTCTGCAGCAAAGCGAAACATACCGACAGGAACGTATGGGTCATTCCATGATGTTTTGATGACTTTTGGATATTCAGTAGGTACTATTCCCAATCTGTTGCTAATAGTGTACCTCTTAGTCTTCCTGTCCTGGAATTTTTCAGAGCATTTTTTAAATTGTTAATTTTGTTTAGTCAGATAGTTCGAAGAAAAGTATTCAAAAGATTGCATGCAGCCTGATCAGACCTGTATACCTCATTTTAAAAGTTGTCCAAATGTCACAAAACATTCCTCAACCTGCTGGAATGGCTCATGTTTGCTTAACAGTTTATGCTATCAGAAGGAGCCTCGTTTACTTGAGATAGCTGTCACTGCCTCTGATCCATGGTGGCCAACTTTTATCTCTGTTCCCTTGAATGCATGGGACTTCATTGTTTAACCCCTACGGTCAACACCAATATGATGTTTGAAGGTTAAAGATGCACTGTGATTTGGAAGGGGTTTATTGTGAAAAATGTACAAAATTGTGCTCTGTTATACCCTGGTGGCGTTGTTCTGTGAAGGCTTCTTTAACCCTAACAGTCCTGAATCCTACAAAAAATGCCAATATGCTTTTACATACACCTTAGGGGGATAGGGCTAATGTAGTCTTCACTTTGGTGTAACCTTGTCCAAGGTGATTATCATTTTAAAAAAAAAAAGCCAATCAATTGATAAAGAAAATAAATAAATTCACCCAAAACAATGAGTCACCTTTGTATGCGCATTCGAAGAGCAGTATTCCAGTTCATCATGTTCTCTTTTGTCACCGATTGGGCGTGTAGTGGCAAGTCACACAGTGAGTACCAGCTCTAGTTTTAGAATTTTTCCACTGCTGCAGCCCTTTCGAATAACGTTTGGATTACGGCAACAAATTCCATCTGTTTCTCCCGTCCCGGCAGGCCTGGTCAATTTCACCTTCCAACTGTCCTTCAACTCCTCTCTGCTGAATGTGTGGGGAGCGGCCCCTATGATCCTGGCGGGTTCCTGGGAATCGCCCAGGGAGAGGACCCAGAGCAACCCGAACACTTCCAAGAGAATCGTCACAGGTGAGTGTCCGAAACTTAGCACCAGTTTGGAATTCAGTTGAGAACTTTCACTAATACGTTTGCCAGTGCACGTGTTCAATTATTGCGATATGTAAGTGCATTGACCATCAGTGTTTCATGTACATTTGCCAGAAAGACGCACCTTTAACAAATGTGAACTCATAAGTTTCAATGATATCACCTTAAGAGAAAAGTTTTGAAAATTTGCCAGTTTAGGCGCCATGAATATAGAATAAGTCATTTGGTATTTCAAAAAGACAAGGTCGTTTGTGACCAAAGCATGTGACACCAGGTCGGCTTGATCCCGTTTGGTGTTTATGGATGTGGGTACGGCCATGCCGACACAGCCGATCTTGTGCACTCATATTGATTGTTCTGAGTGACTCAGGATGTAGTTCATTTTTTGTATGGGTTCTTGGAATGTCAAATTGGCTTATTCACAGTTGTATTTTTGTTGAAGTAGTACAAATACTACTCCAGCAGTAAGGCCATCACAAGTCCCTGTAATGCCATCACAAGTCCCTGTAAGTCCATCACAAGTCCTTGTAAGGCCATCACAAGTCCCTGTAAGTCCATCACAAGTCCCTATAAGGCCATCACAAGTCCCTGTAATGCCATCACAAGTCCCTGTAAGGCCATCACAAGTCCC